CTTTGAATACATCTGAATTACATCTGAATTTTGTGAGAGAAAGTTGAGTATATGGTAAACAACGAATTTCCTCATCACTGATGAGGAAATATGAGTTCATATATAGAACTGAAAACATTTTTTTTCTTCGGACTTTTTCCTTCATCAATTGTCAACTGCCTTTTTTTTTCTTTTTTTTTTTTTTTTTTTGCCATCTCCCTCTCCCCTCAGAAATCTGCAGATAAATAATTTAAGGAAATATTAGCTGATTATATGATCCATGTTTCCCTTTCTGACTGTTGTGGAGCCTACTTGTTCGGGACTAAAAAAATCGTCTTAAGTAACTGAAGCTGAACATATGAATATGCATCCCAGGAAATTTGTTTGAGGTCTTAACTTTTGCTTTTCTAGGGGGACCACAAGGATGGCTTTCGTTGAGTAATGGCTAAGAAAGCTGAAATTATGTATACTGCAAGATAGTCTCCAAGTAGAACAGTCAAACCAAAATTGAAGATTTAACTGATGCATCCAGCTTGCTGTTTCCTTCTTTTGAGCATCCAAAACATACTAACTTTAAATCACTTTTTTCTAATTTGAACTTAATGATTATTGTCTTGCTTGTTGAAGGTTGCTTCTGTCTGTTATAGGCAAAGGTGAAACACAGCCATTTGCCAAAACTCAGAGCTGCTTTACATTTTCTGCTTTCGTTCCATCATCTGTGCAGTTCTTCGCATCAACAGTCAGGTTCATATCCTGCCACAGATCAGTGTATCTGTCTCTGAACCACCAACTCCCTTCTATTCTTTGGCTGCTCTTTTGTTTGTACAAATGTCATTTATCCTTCCTCCTGCAATTTACCTTCCCTCTGGTTATAGGAGAAGTCCTGGCACAGGGATGAATAATAGTCCTCTAATTCACACAGTTCCAACCCAGAGTGACTAGCTGGATAGAGTTTGGGAAAATAGTTTTTTCTTTTGTGGGATCCTGAGGAGAGACATGGAGTTTAGCATTAATCACTGGCAGGGAGAGTGATCCTTTGGTAAAAGATTCACATGGGATAATTCAGGTCAGAAGGGAAATCAGGAATTCTTTCGTCCCAATTTCTAGTCAAAACAGTGTGAGCTATGAGATGCTTTCTGAGGACTATTCATAGGCATGATCTGTTTTAAGCTGAGACTGAGCAATTATGGTTAAAAAGGAGATTAAGAGATTTTGCATGTTTTTAAGTGCATGTATATGTAAAATAGCTAAATCTAGAGATTTACCGATCAGTAAAGGATCTATCTTCAGAGACAAAAATATATGTTCTTTTATATTACCATGAGATCATGTGAAAGTTAACATTTTCCCAGTATGCTTTACTTTTGCTTCATTTGAATAAATTAAGATCAGGATTGGTTTCGGTCGAGCTTCATACCTCAGATTGGTACCATATAGGAAGGGCTAAACTGAGAGTCTACTCAAGAAGTAAAATTATGAGTTAAATTATATGTTAATTGTTTACCTTTAAAAAATCCTGTTTCTGTTCAGGTGAGTTGTCCATCTGTTGATACAATTTGATATTCATGTCAGTATTTCTTATAGCCCAGCTAGAGGCAAACTTTGAGGAAATGGAGAATCATCTGTTGTGTCTTGAGGACCTATGTGAGCAGTGTGAGTTGGAAAGATACAAGTGTGTGCAGACATTGCAGCTGGAAAACTACAAGAAAACAAAAAGGTAAATAAAACAATAATTATAAATTAGCATAAAATATAAACCTTTTGTAATTGCCCCCATAGGTAGTATAATCCCTTTTATTTTCATCTTTTTAAGAAACAGTAATCTTTGTCAGGATGTTGCAAATTTGTAGTAGTTTCACTGAATGTCTAGCTCTTGGTGATGAACAAAGAGTGTGTGTATTTGGAAAATTATCACTACATAGTTGTTAAGATGAAGCCATGCTTATTATTTTCTGCAAACAATTGGATTAGGGGTTGTTGTTAACAAGCACTGATATTTGTTTCTTTGAATCCCTTGCCCTGGTTTTTTGATTTCTTTTTTTTTTTCCCCCCTCATGTACCTGTCAAATTAGGAACAGTATTTTCCTCTATCTTCCTTTGAGTTCTGTCATGTCCTATCCTATAAGTACCTTTCACTCTATATGAAAGGTATTAATCTCCTGCCATTCTCTTACTTGCAAAAATGGGGCATTAGTTCTTGGAATCAAAGTTCAACTTAGGCCGAGAAGTATGTGTGAAAATTTAGAACTTACAAATTATGAGTTTCATGTTTACCTAAGAGATAAAATAGCAAGAGAAAAATATTGAGCTTAAATAAACTGTTAACTGTCTTGATTTTGTTACTGACAGTGCCAAAAATAACCCAACAGAAGGAGATAAGAAAAACAGTATTATGTCTGTTACATAAATGAGGAAATGAGGAGTTGAATTGAAGCAAGTTGTCAAAGACAGTGTCTGGCAGCCTTTGTTAGGGAGTGGTGGGTAGACACAGATGTTGACTGACATGGGGATAGCCAGGTTACTTGATCTGTCCAGCCAAGTGACCTCCTGTTAGCCAGGGAAAGCACCTTGGCACCCTCCTCACTTCTCTTGATTGTGGGAGCGAGTTTGATTGATGTGGTATGGTCAGAACAACTGGTCTGGTTTACAGTTCTAATGAGGATGTGGTGATCAAGGGCAGGACTGCTCCAGACAGCGTTGGTCACATTGTGTATAGCTTATCTGGTTTCCTCTGTCTTGACTCTCCTTTTGCCATTCTTGTAGGTCATCTTTTTTT